AGGAAGAGCGCTGTCACCTAAAATGTGTAAAACTTTCCCCATATCCATCATCTTAGCTCTCCCCTCCCCCCCCCACTACCCCCAGCAAAAATAAAAGTCCGCACCTATGCTCCCATAGCTGCCACTGTCCTCAGCTGACCTGTGGGAAGGGGGAGCTTCAGCACCCCCTTCCTGACCTACTCCAGCCAGGCTGCACATGGAGCCAGTCCCAGTTGGAGACAGTGGCAGCCCTGGCAGCAGCAGGCAGGTTCCCCCAACACTGAACCTGCTCCCAGGCTGGAGGGGAACAGTTGGGAAGACCAGGCAAGGAGGGGGAACCCACCCATTTCCACCATCGCTGCTGTCCCTGGCTCAGCCCAACTCCCCACACAGCCCAGCCAGAGTGGGGCAGGACCTGCTGTGGGGCTCCTCCTACCCCCTGGGTCAGCAGTGGGTGGGGAAGGAAGGAAATGGGAGGGGGAAGGACGTGCTGCTGAGCAGGGAGAGAAAAGGAAGAAGGTGAATTCTTACATACTTCTGGGACTTAAGCAGTCCCTGGCTGCTGTTCATGCAGCATGGTCCAAAAGGGAGTGCTACCATTTCATTGTACCCCTTCTGGATCCGCCTCTGTTTCCTAAGACCACTACTATGAAATACCCTTTCCCCTAATGTAATGCATGCTTCTGTAGAGCATTATTGTGCCATTATTTTTGCATTGAAAGAGTTTTGCTGATTTTTTTGTGGGTTTTTTTTAAAGAAAGGACAATTCTAAAGCTCTGTGGCCCATGCTTGTGTACCTGCAAAACTCTAAAGTTCTAACGCTCTAACAGCCCCCTTACCTGAATTTGCATTTCTGGAACTTCCCCAAAGTTAGCCAGGAATTTTCTGAGGCACAGTTAACCAGAATGCTTGGGTGTTACCTAAATACTCAGCATGTTATTGAAGCTCGGGTCTTTATGCTCTTCAAGAACAACAGTACTAAAGACTATAGTCAGGGTTGAGTTACCTAAAATAGTTCTTAAAGTGCACAAACCTAATGCACAGTGTAAACTTTCTTGGTATACTTTCATTGTTCAGGTAACAACCACTGGCAGCTTTTCTAGCAGACATTTTATGAGGAAAATTGGATAGTTTCCAGGATGCATCAGCTCTATGTCTGCCCCTGCAGCCAGAAAGTTCTATCAGCTCCATCTGGGACACTTGCCAGTTCTTTAACCCACGGCTACAGACATGGTATACATTCCTCCAACAGGCAGGAACATAAGGCAATACTTACAAGCTCCACTGCATTGTGCTCAAAACTACTAAGCCTATTTGATTTTATGTTCTCTGCTGCTTCAGCAAATGATTCTTAAATTCCTTTAATCAGACAATGGTGCTAGCTCTGTTTTGAACCACAGTAGATATTGTAAATGCACGATTCACAGCTTCCAGAATTTTCTGTTGCATATGGTCTATCTTGTATTGTCAAACATTTACAATTTTATTTCAAAGCCATTTCTTTCTCCCAAGAAAAGAAAGAATATATTCATTAAAAGCTAGTTTGTGAAATCTTTCTTTGGAATGAGTATGTTACTTGGCAAGTATCTCTGCTAAGATACTTGGCATAAGATACTAATCAATGTAAGTATAAGAGAGAACAAGGTTTTTTGGACCCCACAGTCTATTTTCAAAATAAGAGAAACATTTTCCTCTGCACCCACGCTTCTGTTCAAGAAGATTAAGGAGACAGTTAACAACCCCCTAATTCTCTAGGTCAGGTTTTCAAGAACACGTTCGATGAGACAGTACCATCCTTAGGTACTCCAGCTTTTGTCCCTGGGAAATAGTTTCCATGAGACTTCAGGTCAATGATGGATCCACAAAGAGTAACACATTCTAGATAATTCTTTCCATATATCAACGTATTTCACATCAGGGCACAGCAGAGATTTTACCCTTCTTGGCTATGGCCAGACGAGCACAGCCATGTGGTATGTGACACCACACTCCTCATGTTCAGTTGTTCTCCATACTGCAGTGAAGCAGCACGGAGGAAAGAGCAAAAACCCACAGAGAAAAAAAAAATGGAACAGCACACATGAGAGCACCGTGTACTGCTCAAAAGCGGAGCCCGGAGTTGTGCTGTGGCTGCCAGCCAAGCTCTGTGTGGCAGGATCACCACTTCTGCAGCCCTAGGAGGCCCCCAGGACCTCAGATACGGCTGCTGGGGCCAGCCCAGAGCTGGCCCCAGCCTTCCCTACTGACCCCGGGGTAACTTGCCACATTCCAGAGCATGCATGGCATGGACATGCCCTGGTGTCAGCTAGCAGCAGCACAAGGTGCACTGCTGCTAGTTGTCCCTGGGGAAACAAACATCCCCAAGAAATGTGGACATGGCCTCTGGGCATGTCCACACATGCAGGCACGTGAGCATCCAGCAGTACAAATTAGTGCCTAAGATTTGTGCCTCAGCACATGTGCCTGAACATGCATTTTGGTGTGGGGCAAACTGACCCTGTCCAGCTCCTCCCAGATCTTAAGCTAGGGGGAGCTGCAGGCTGGGGTCAGTCCCTGTGCTGGCCCCAGCAGTATAAGAAAGCTGCCCTGGTGAGCAACTCAGGGTTACTTGCCCTCAGGAGCCTCTGAGGCCCAGCCAGTTGGTATCTGTGGACACTAGCCCCTTGTGTCAGCTGGACTATTGCAGCAGCCCTGACCTAGAGTGGCCCACGCACCTTTTACCTGCTGCAGCAGTCTAGCAGTGGGGGTTGCTGTCTGGCTGTAACCTGCTGCCACCTGTGACAGCACCCACCCCCTTGGACCCGCAGCCCCATGGCTGCGTGCCTGCCAGACCCAGATGGGGATCACACAACCACTTGGGCTGCGGTACAGGCACTGCAGCTGAGCCTCCTGTACCTCTGGACCAGCTGCCAGTAGACTGTGGCTGCACAGCTGGCCTTCAGGTGGCACTGCTGTCACATCCTCTGGTGTTCCCCCCCTGCCATCTCAGCAGCTATCGCCTAAAAGATTTGCTCATTGCAGTGGCCCATTTTGAACTGTCGAGGGATGTCCTCCTAGACCCAAATGGCCAGGAGGTAAGCCACATCATCTGCCCTCCAGCTGGGTCCCCAGTGCTTGCCCTGGGCAGGTCCCTCTGCCTGGGTCTCACCACTTGCCCCACCATCAGGGATCTTGGTGTTCCTTGTTTAAAAATTGAAAATTCTCTCTTTAAAAAACCCAAAATCTGTGTTCTTCCATGATTAAAATGAAACACTGCTATATATAGAAAGATCAGTTGGGCAATGTTTTATTGATATTTTTACGATTTTAAAGCAATTTGGAAGCCTGCCAGTGCCTCTATCATCATAATAAAACTAATTCTAAATATCTATACACTTTGGCGTTTGCTTTATTTTTTATCATAGAAGAATCAGAACTTCACCAGCCTCCTTCGCTCATCAGGATGTGGGGCGCTGAGCAGCACCGGGATGCTAGTGTCCTGCCTCTGCCCATGCCCTTTCCCCTTACTGCCAACCCACAGCCCTGCTAATGCCCCTGCCTGCCTGCCACTAGCTCCCTCCCAGCAGCAGCTCTGTCCCAGCACCAGGACACGGATCCAGCTGCAGCTGTACCACCTGCTGCTTTGTGGCTCTAAGCAGCGCCAACCCTTATTGTTCTGCTCCCTGTGCCTGTGCCCAGGCCCCAGTG